CTCAAATGCCAACAAGATTGCCATATACTCTTTCTCATATGTCGATAACCCTTGCAAGCAAGGTCCCAAGGCTTTGCTTAGGAATGCCAAAGGATGACCCCCTTGCATAAGCACTGCACCAATTCCAGTACCACTGGCATCAGTTTCAACAGCAAAAGGGCGACTGAAATCTGGTAGGGCCAACACCGGGCTGTTGTCAGAGCGTGCTTCGGAGCTGAAAAGGCCTTGTCCTGGATATCTGTCCATACATAAACGGCACCTTTACGAAGAAGATCCATCAATGGTTTTGAGATGATGCCAAAGTGCTTAACAAAGCGCCTGTAGTAGCCTACGAGGCCCAAAAAACTGCGTAATTCCTTAACTGACTGTGGAACAGGCCATTGCAAGACAACATGAACCTTATCAGGGTCAGTGGCCACACCCTCCTCTGAGATAACATGCCCCAAATAACGAAGCTGTCTTTGTGCAAAGTGGCATTTAGACATCTTAACTTGCCACTGATCTTGCTGAAGCAGCTGAAAGACCAGCCTCAAGTGCTCAACATGTTCTTCATAGGAGCGACTGAAAATGAGAATATCATCGAAGAAAACAAGTACACATTTACGCAACAGAGGGTGCAGGGTAGTGTTCATAGCCTTGAGAAATGTGGCCGGAGCTCCTGTGAGACCAAAAGCCATGACACGAAACTCGTAATGGCCGGTGTGAGTTTGAAAAGCAGTTTTGAACTCTTCCCCACCCTACAAACGAATCTGATGGTATCCAGCTGTCAGATCAAGACAAGAAAACCAAGATGCATGTGTGAGTTCATCGAGGAGCTCTTCAATGATTGGTACTGGATATTTAGCTTTGACTATGATGGCATTGAGCTGTCTGAAATCCACACAAAAATGATACGTGCCATCTTTCTTCTTGACCAGCAAAACTGACGAAGAGAATGGGCTAGAACTGGGCTGGATAATGCCGGCTTGCAACATTTTAGTAACTTAGACGCTCAATTTCATCCTTAATCAAGGGAGGGTAACGGTAGGGTCTTACTGAGAATGGACTGGCACCAGGTATCAATGGAATGGCATGATCATAGTGACGTGCCGGCGGATAGCCAGCCGGAGGAGCAAAGACAGACTGAAACTCAGTTAATAGTGCTGCAATCTCAGGCGGAACAGGCTCCTGATGAGCTACAGTGTCATCCGACAGTAGAGGGGTAACCAGAATGACAGAACCAACAGGCAGACTCATCAACTCACCTTGCAAGAAACGGTGACCTTGACCATAGGGAATTACCAGCCATTTGCGGTGCCAATCCACTTGCATTGGGCTGCAAGAAGCCAACCAGTCCATTCCAACAATCAACTTATAAGGTGTCAGAGGCAAAATCTTGGCTGCAGAAACAAAGTCACAGTGCTGAACAGACCAAGATAGCCGTTCAATATGGGCATAACAAAGCAATTTAGATCCATCAGCTACTGTAACATGAAGAGCAGGACTAAAAGTAGATGCTCCAGACAGCTGAGAGGCCAGAGATTGACTGACAAAAGTTTGAGTGCTACCGGAATCCACCAAAATCCGAGCCTGATGTCCCTGCACAGTGCCCAAAAACTGAATAGCACGAGCAGGTCAAGTACTACCTGATGCTGCCATAGAAATAGCCGCGCACTGTGGTGCATCATCATCCTGGACCGATGCAGAATCTGAGCAGTCATCCGAATGACAAATGTCCCAGAACTCCTGCAAGACATGGAGTTGGACAGTCTCTGAACACTTGTGGTCGCAGGACCATTTTTCGCCACAATGGATGCGGAGACCTCGAGCTCGGCGGTAGTCGCGCAGGGTGTTCAGCTTGGACTCAATTCCACGGCCACGCTTGTCATTAGGCATAGCTCCTGGCGCGGCCGGCTTGTCCTGGCGTTCAGTTCGGAATGGCGGCAGAGGAAGGGGCAAGGGACCCCGCGGCGCCGCCTTGGCAAAGGTGAATGGCTCCGGCCTCCGAACATCATGCCGACGCCCGGATCCACCAATTCTTCCTGCATCAAAGCGAGCATGCAGGCAGTATCCAGAGTAGCAGGACGTTGCAAATGAACAGCAGCACGAATATCAGCATGGAGGCCATCAACAAAACACATAGCATAGTACAGAGGATCGGTATTGCGGCCATAAGCGATCAACTGTTCAACTAACCCAGTGTACGTATCAATATACTCCTGGACAGATCCAGCTTGGTATATGTGGAAGAGCTGGCGGATCAGAAGAGCATGCTGATCCTTACCAAAGCGCTCCAAGACAGCTTGACAAAAGAATTCCCAAGTACTCTGATGAATCTGATCTTCTACAGATTGGAACCAGCGAGCCGCGGCCGCGATCATGTGCATGGTGGCGACCTTAACCCAGCGGTGGTGAGGTACCGTATACATGTCAAAATAATCCAAACAACATCCTAGCCACAATTTTGGGTTCTCACCATCAAATGGGGGAAAATTCATTTTGGGTATGTGTTCGTGAGTTCCCTCCCTATGCCAATTGCCACCAGGAACCCCTTCCCCATGCCAAGTGCGGCGTGGGAAGCCATCACCCCACCCGATCCACTGGGAGCCCCCCACCACGAGAGCTGATCCAGAGTAAGAGCGAAGAAGGTTGGGTTTCGGATCAGGATTAGGCGGATTGAGCATACCCTTGATCGGGGATTGAGTTGGATACTTGAATCCCCGGTGGCTTGATTCCTCGTGGTGCCCTAACGGGCTGAATTTGGTCTAGCCGGCGGGAATCGTCGCCGCGGACACCTTTGGAGGCGGCGGCAGAACACCGGTTGGCATGGCCGGCGCGGCGTCGAGGACAGAGCGGCTCACGGACTTGTGCAGGGCGGTCATCTCTTCCCGTAACGTCTCCACCTTCCCGTCCGTCTTCCGAATCGCGCCCACCTCCGCACGCAATTCCTCCACGGTCGCATCCATCTTCGGGCACCAAGTGTTGAACGCCTTAGCGGCATCTTCTAGGGAGGCGACGCGCTTGCCGACGGAGTTCTCCACCAAATCCATGTGGGTGGTGAGATTCGACTGTACGGATCGGAGTTCGTCGAGGATGAGCTTGGTGTTGGGATCCATATCGCCCAACTGCTTGTGGAACCGGGTGAAGTGATCGTGGATGATCTCGTGGGGCTCCAGGGGAAACACCGGTGATGATCTCTACGCTGAGCAGCGAACATGCGAGGAAGTGGTGGTTTCGTGGTGCTGCAGGATTTGACTCTGAGTACCAATTTGTTACGATCTCAGACGAGTTCTGGTATTTCAGAGTATCGGTAATACAGAGTTCAGGCAAGGTAGCAGGAATGGAGCAGGGAAAGGCAACAGAGCACGAGGTTGGGGTATCAGAGGGAACTTGTAGGAGAAGACAAAGAGTGGTCACAATAATCTTTCATAATCCCCTCTCCTCACGACAATACGTATTTATCCTGAAGCTTCACGCCGTGGCCCAGTCTTTGCCCGTGAAGCGCCGGTTTGGAAACCTGGGCCGGTCGGACCTTCGCTGCTGCGGCCCATACTCCTACTGCGGCTCAACTCCGTCTTCTGAATCTTGTGCCGGACTCGCGACAGTAGCAGGTCCGGTCGTAACATATATCCCGTGTACGCCCTACGCATCACTCGAAGAATTAGTGAATTACCACGAGCAGCCCGGAACAGGCTGTTAAACCATTTGATTTATGCTCGTCCCGGTCGACCTAAACGGCTATACGTACGCTACCATATGTACCCTACAGGCTACAGCGAGGTGTGCCCTCTGTAAATCGGCAAGAGTGTCTAACGCCTATATAAACGTGGGTGGACAACTTTTCAGCCGGCTTATGCCTATTTTGACTTATTTTCTCTCATAGAAACACTATTCAGTCGAAATCAACCGAAATACCACCAGCAGAACAGGGTACTGGTTTAGAGCCACGCGTGGAGATCATCAGAGTAGTAAGCCACTAGCCACGCCTCCAGCAGGCATCTCTCGCCTTCGCAGGAAGCAGGGAGAAGCTAGAAATGGCGATCAAAATGGATAAGACGTCGATCATCGTTTGCTAAGTGATCGGGTCTCTAGGATTGTTGAGTGCCATCCTGGGATTCTCGGCAGAGGGGACAAAGCTCACAGTAAGCACTGCCGATCTACATTTTTTCTTTCAGTTTTGCTGTCTTATTTCAAGATTCAAGTTCTCCGTTTGAAACCAACCTACAAATAACAACCTAGCTATATCTATTCATCAATCGTATTATGCCCCTTTTGTATCAGTATATCCAGTTATATATTGTGTTTCCTTCTATTTTTTTTTTATGGGCATGACAGATCTTGTTTTGAGCTGTGAACATTGTATGTTATTATATATACTAGTATAATGCCCGTGCTAACGCAACAGATTTATCTTGGAGACGCACATGAAAACAACCAATGTTTTTTTTTCCATAGTTTAACTTTTATACAATATCTTTGAGCATGCATACAATCCGGGAAACTATAAAGTCAAAGTAAAGTTTTTTCTCATATAACCATTTAAGTTATATTCTGTTTAAGTCCTTAATCATGACTTGGAAATCTTTAGAAAAGTTGTCAAAACATTCGTTTGCATGGCTCTTAAGAATATCCCAAAAAATTCCATCCTCAGTGAATTTGATAACTGTGCATGTTAGATATAATAAGTTAAGTTATTAATTTTGTACGTAGCCATATACCATACTGGTGTACGGCGACGACTGTCTCTACCCGCAGACCCGGCGATCAAGCTCGGGATCTGCGCTGCCATCTTCCTAATAGTGGCTCAGGTCACCTTCTCCGCGGTGGGCGGCTGCTGCAGGTCCCGCTCCATCCCTTCGGAGACCAAGAGGATCGTCAGCATCGTCTGCGCCGTTTTCTCATGGTGAGTAGTGATACTGACTCCAACTGGTCGATCATGGCGAGCCCACTATATATATATAAGAACTCAGCCCACTACATATATAAGAACTCCCTTCGTTGTTTTGTGAACAAAATAAAAAATGATGGAACCGAACAGGATAGCGGCAGTGATCGCGTTCGCGCTGTTCATAGAAGGAGCGGCGTGGAACGCCAACGTGGTGCGGGTGGCCGAAGCGCCCTACTGCCCCTACCTCAAGGACGGCGTCTTCGCCGGCGCGGGCGTGCTCGCCCTCGCCGCCACGGCGCTCGGCATCACCTCCTTCATCATGCAGCGGACTCAGCCAGCAGCTGGGGACGCGGCGGCAGCGGCAACGCCAGGCACACCAAACAACAGGCCAGGCGCAGCAGGCGGGCAGTCGCCGTCCCCCGAGGTAGTAATGGACCACCCGCTGTTACCATCGGGCAAGCCACAGAACGACTACCCTGTAAAACCCCAGGGATACGAGCAGCCTCAGGTCGTCCCTCCTACTGAGTCTCACCCACAAGCAGGCTACGCACAGGCACCACAGACGAACCTACAGCCCCCTCCTCCAGCTGCTCAGGACAATGTGTCCCACCACGCGCCGAACCACCAGCTCCCTCCGCGCCCGCCAGCCCCAGCAGCGGCACCGGCGGTCGCCGTGGCAGCAGCCGCAGCCTCGGAACCAAGCGTGCTGCAGCCGGCGCTCGGGCCGGTCGCGATGGGCCAACCGCTGCCGCAGGTTCCGCTACAGTACTCTGTTCCTATCCCGGCACCTCAGGTCGGCGGCGTGGATATTCCGGCCGGCGTTCTCCCCTCTACTGCTCCTTCGACGCCAGGGAGCGGACCGTCGGCACTTTCGACGGTTATTCGCAACGAAGTAGCGAGACAAGGAGTTAAATTGGCTGCGCACGTGGTGACGCAGTCCCTCTTTTCTGATAACAACACCGTTGGGGATGGCGTTCTTTCCATCATGACTGGTTCTGCTGGAGGCGACGCTGTTCAGGCTACAAATTAATTGAGAGGTCGGATGATGATGCTTAATGCTCTGTGCGTTATACGTAGTTTTAGTTTGCTGTTTGTACTTGTTCCTGTATTTGTCAGCAGCTTCGAGACTGTGAAGCATGTCCCTGTCTGTATACCTACTTGTTCTGGTTTCAATCATCCTAAGCTCGAACTTTACTTTTCATTATACCTGTAATGTAACTTTTGCCCAGTTTCCATCCGAATTGTGCAGCTACACTGTTTTGTATTTGGAGGCGACTATTAGCTACATCATCTTTCATTTGCCTCAATCTCAACACTGGGCCGCTTGAAAAGAAAATGAATACGGCTGCCGTCACCGTCATCCGAAGAAGGAACTGGGCCTTAGGCCGGCTGATTTTAAGCCGTTCGGTTGTTTTTTAGGTGCAATAGTCGTATTGGTCCCTGAACTATTACTCAAAGCTCATTTTGATCCTCACTTTTAAAAAGGCCGTATTAGTCCTCAAACTCTACTTTTAGGTTTAATTTCATCCCAAAACTATGAAGATGATCGTTTCAGTCCTCAAAATTTTACATTTTGGGCTCACTTGATCCGTAAATTATCAAAATGTATTTCAGACTTTAAAATTTTATTTTTCAACTGAACTTTGTCTATAGTCCTACGTGGAACGTTGCACCTGTTCATCTCCAACACCACCGGCGATTGGAGATAGAACATATAATATTCATAAAAAATTCTGTAGTGGCCATTAATAATCCTAAGCTGTTATGTTACCTTATAATGGTACCGTGTGTGTATATATATCCGATTAAATGATTTTTGTGGGAGCAATTACAGTTGCTTGGAACGTTATTTATTCCCTAAGAATACATGGATATATACTGAAATAATAGCAAATCTATAATTTTTCCTTAGCTACTTCTAGAGTTAGGCTCAACTAAAAATAATTAGTGTATAAAATAATATATTTTTATCCATAGGCTAAAAATAGTTCATATTTAAGAATATTTATATCTATATGCATCTTAGAATATGAATATAAATGTTGAAAGTCTGCTATCCGATTCGCTAGCTGGGACGACACTAGGGACAATAGTACCTAACAATAACCGTCCATCTCAAAACGTGGGTGGTGCTGGACCTATAACCCAATATTATTATAGTTGAGCCAAAATACATTTTGTAATTTATGGATGAAATTGTGCCTAAAATATAAAGTTTTATTTATAGACAAAGTTGAGTTGAAGATAAAGTTTAAAGACCGAAATGCACTTTGATAGTTTATGGATGAAATTGAGTCCAAAATACAAAGTTTGAGGACTGAAATGATCATCTTCATAGTTCTAGGATGAAAATGAGTCCAAAAGTAGAGTTTGAGGACTAAAATAGCCATTTTAAAACTTTAGAGATGAAATTGAGCCTCGAGTAATAATTCAGGGACCAAAACGACTATTGTACCTTTATGAAAAGAAACCACATGAACCGTCTATGGCAGAGACCTGGGCACCAATGTCTTGGCATGCCCATAAAGAACATCAAGGCACATCGAATCCCTATGCTGCTGCTTCCCCTACCATACTCTACATCTTGCCATCTTCGTATAGTATGTCTCCTCGTCCCTATAGCCCTAACCTCACCTAGCTGCTTTACCTGTGTTCCTAGCCAAAATATTTTGCCGTCACCATTGATGTCTACAGAAGTGGAAAACAACCAAACAGAACGTGTCGATTCCAACTAACGTGGCTCAAATATGAAGTCTTCTATAGAAGGAATCGGCTCATGTGGTTGAGATTATGACCAAATCATGAAAAATGTGTATATGCTTTTGATATCCTACATGTAACACTACTACAGGATGGACTTGTTGTCCCGGGGGGTAACGGCCTTTAGTCCCGGGACTAAGGTGGAACCTTCAGTCCCGGGTCATCGAGCCAGGACTAAAGAGGGACCTTTAGTCTCGGTTGGTGTTACCAACCGGGACTAAATGCCTTCCAGCCGAGCAAACGTGGCCGCAACCTTTAGTCCCGGTTGGTAACCTCAACCGGGACTAAAGGTTCCTTTTCTTTTTTTTTGTTTAATTTGTTTTCAGTTCAGTTACACATATTTGTTTAATATATAATATGTTTTTATGTACGTATTCTACGCTGCTAATATAAATACACGCACGTATATAATTACATCTAATTCTCATCTCGAGCATTATTATATTCGAATAAAGTATGAAACTATATATATTATAGATATATATGTATATATACAACACTTTCATAATCTTGTTCTCGAAAATAACAATATCAATAAACATTTAATTTACATCATTTATTCCTTAGGATCAAAGTAGAACTCGCCGTTGGGATTTAACACTTTTTCTAGAAGAAATCCTGCTATTGACTCTTGAACTGCTTTTAGATGGTCTTTTTGCATGACCCTTTGTTTGAATCGTTCAGTCTTGCATTTGAAATAAAAGGAAAAGTATTAATACATATATATATTTATTTAAAAATAAATAAAAAATTGATATATACGTACTCTGAGGACATCTTTAGGAGTTCTTCTTATGTGCGCAGTGATAAATTCACAAACGTAGTATCCACACAAATTATTACCTGGTTGCTGCCGCAAACACCACTGTACGAGAAGAAGATTATTATTATCATCTCACACGTAAATTGAAGTACGATATAGTAATTAAACACGTGGGGAAGTATATATAGTACAACTTACTGGTATTTCAACTATATTAAGTGGTGCCTTGCAATCCTTGCGGTGTTGCCGAATAAACTCTTTCCAAACCCTGTGCGACCAATAATGTACGATCGTTAATAAATTATGACAAAGTCTAAACAATAATAGTTGTGCGCGAGAGATCGAAATTACCCTTGGATAATGTCTATCATATCTTGGTATAGTGCCCGCTCTTTTCTCTTCGAGTCCAAGATTACTAACCGACTTGAGTTTAACTCAATGACAATGAGTATCCAGTGAAACCTATATTGGTTTATACACACATGCACATGCATATAAGTTGTATTGATATTACATAAAATGTGTAGACTACATTATTATTAACACTTACTCAAAGCTGTACGGGGAAAATATTGTTGTCTTGTCGTGCTGCTTCACGAAGAACCTCATGATATTCTTCTGTGCTTTAGATACCCACTACTTCTTGGGAATAATATCGGTTTTGAATACGATATAAGGATCAATGAAGCCAACACTGGTGTCTTGTATTCTTTGGAGCTCTGACATCTAGAATCTGTATATAAATATAAGTTACATGTGAGGATAATTATATACACGTACGCATGGAAGTGAGTTTATTAAATAAAAGTAAGAATCACTTACAAACAAAAGGAGCTAATGATTGATTTGTCCAGAGCGTCCATGTGGCATAGTTGATGCAACTCTTCGAAACTAATATGTAAGATGTCATCGCCACGGAAGTAATGATGGTCTCTAAATCTGACAAAGATCCACTCATCACCCCTGCCACACGCCTGCATGTACCACTTGTTGAGAAAGTACATTTGCGTACCCAATTCATTCAGAGCATTGAGGTTGTACAGGACTTTTGCCAAATTTATAAGTCTTCCGGTATCAACTTCCGTGTTCGGATTGGAGCTTTGCATTCACTTGATCCAAGGTTAAACCAGTTTGTTCAAAAAAAGCATTAAGGTCTTGAACCGACACTTCTCCAGAGTTGTCTGGTCGATAGACTTCTATATTGGAACCATATTCATTAGCAACAAGATTTTGTATTGGTTGCTTCTATTGTCCGAGCTGTGGGACATCCTTCCCTGATGCTCTTTTCCTTTTCTTATGTGCATCATGTGACTTCACGAGGGAGCGGTCATAGTCTGATAGTGGCGGAGGCTTACGAACTTCAAGCATCTTTTTCTTGTGAGCTTCGACCTTCTGCCTCAGCTGATCTCGTGGTATGTAAAAGTACGACTTCTCCTTAAGCTTCGCTTGTCTCTGCTTTTGGATATCTATAAAAAAATCTTTCACTTTTTTGTCATCTTCAGCTGCTATTTGCTCATCAGTCTTTTCATGAAGTATTTCTTGAGAAATAACTCTTTTTTTTGGGTCTTCTTTGCCGCCGGGACCTTAGACGTCTTTGTAGTGCGTCGCTGTGGAGGGGGTGGGGCGGTGTTGGAGACCGGCATGGAGGCGATGAGGCCGGTGTTGGAGTCCGGCGTGGAGGCGTTGGAGATCGTTGTGGAGACGGTGGGGCCGGTGTAGGAGTTGGAGATCGTTGTGGGGACGATGGGGCCGGTGTAGGAGTCGGAGATCGCCGTGGGGATGAAGTCGTCTCGCCCCCCGCGACGCTGTGATGAGATGGGGAATGAATGATTTGGTTAGGCTAGGGGGAGACCCTGCTACAAAAACAAGTTGTGGGTCAATTATTTTTGAAGCCAATATAAAATTAATGGAAAATAATATTTCATTCACTTTCATTCGTACCTAGGGTGAGGTAGGGGAAGCGGTGGCGCCCCAGGAATGATGATGAAGCATTTGCGCCATTGAATAAATGTCTTCTCTGCTTCTCCTAGTGTCTTCTCCCCATCACCGCCTTCAATGTCAAGAGGAACATTGCTGTAACCTTTGAGCACTCTATCGACCGAGACGCTAGCATATCCAGGTTAAGTAACTGACTCATGGATTCTTGGTGTCTTCGTTCGGTCTATTGGAGATACAACCCCGACAGCCACCATGATTGATGCATTATTACCATCTGGAATGTGCAGCTCACATGTTGTTAGAGGCTCGGTAATGTCATCAACAGGGAAGCGCAACCCAGCGTCACCTTGAATAACTGGCAGCTCCATGGAAGCACAACTGCTTTTCATCTGACCAACGGGGCTAATGGTGACTCCCGGCGTTGATTGCGATTGCATTTGACTCATTGCTAGCTGCACTTGCCTCTTGATCTCCTCCTACATTCATGCCTCAAGAGATTTTTCTTGTTCACGTCATTCAAGCAATGCTTGTCGTGACTCATTAACAAATTGCTCCAATACACGGATTCG